TATATCGGGAGACTGTGCAGGCCATCTGAGAACTGGTATTTTTTTGATCCAGAAAGCAGAAAGAATTTCTTTGCGAGATTTGAAGTGTGCTTCGGGTCATTATCTTGCTGGAAGATTGATCTTAAGGGCATTCTGTCTTCCATATAGGGTAACATGACATGCTTTATGTCTGTGTATACTTATCCATAATGCCGTCTATTCTATGTAAAGGTCCCATCCCAAACCCCGAAAAGCACCCCCAAACCATAACAGACCCGCCTCCATGTTTGACAGTGGGCAAAGTGTACTTGGGGTTCAATCTTTGTCCACTAGGATGTCTAATGTAATGAACACCATCTGATCCAAACATATTGAACTTGGATTCGTCACTGAAACATACCCTCTTCCAGTCACAGATGCTCCAATCAAGATGCAACTGTGCAAATTTTAATCCGTCCTTACGGTTTTTCCTCAAGATTAGTGGCTTCTTACTTGGGCGACGTGCGAATAACTTCAAATCATTTAACCTTATACTTATAATTTTTGTAGAAACACTGACAATTCCTTTTGTCTCGATTTTGGCTTTTATTTGTCTTGGGGCTTTAAACGGATCTTTGGACGAAATTACTTTTATTAATCTAGCTGATGTAGCATTTAGTTTTCTAGGTCGACCACTTCTCTTAGAGGCTTCCAAGATACCTTTTTGTTTATATTTGTTCAATATTGCCCAAACTGCTTTACGCTTCAGCTTCAAATTTTTGACAATGTCGACTTGACGTTGACCATCTTTGTATAACTCAATGGTCATAGTTTTCACATCGGAAAAAATTTCTGGAGCACCCGGCAAGGTCTTAAAATCACTCAACCTACTCCACAATACTTGATGAACACAAACTAATCGTAATTTGGTTTTTCTACTAATAACGCATTTGTTTATGGAGCAATGAAGTATGAATTCGTTTTCCAAAGGTATTTAGGTAAATATTCATATTTGCCTATATACTTAAGTCCATTACTGTATGTATATGAATATTCAAAAAGTGTATACCACTAAAGCAATAATGAATTTGTTGTTATGGTGTTAGTTTTTGGCACTGTTTGAATTCTGCAACAGGTACAGTGGAAGGCCTAGACAACCATGAATGTTACAAGTGATGAGTGCTTCATAATGTTTGACACTTTTCCACTGCTATTTCTCACCGTCAATGCATACCACACATTAGCTTTGTCTTTCCAAGCAATGTTGTGCTTAAATAGTGCCTCAACTTCCAAAACATCCCGTATAATAATAAATGGCGTAGGGCTTTTGATACTACTTACCGTTCCTGTCGGACTTTCGAATATGCCTAACTTTTTGTTTTCCAAAACAAAATAAAGATTTTTCATGAACTCCTCTTGAATGTTGTATGGTGGAAATGGAAATTCAAAAGTTGATGGTAATTGCATACGAGTCTCCTCAGTCATTTTAGTACTTTTTTATTAGTCTTTTCACGACTGGATTTACTTTTTGCATTACAAGATAACAACGATTTTTATTTTTGGGAAAAGCGAAAAGCAACTTGAAAAGGTAGAGTTATGCAGGTTATACACAACTTTTGCCGCTTTTTCCGCAGCACAGTGGCTGCGTGACTGGTTGTCGAGTGTTGTCATAGCAACGAATGCTAGCGTCATTCAAAATGAGCAATCGCTAATGCCACGTCCGCACCTTGCCACTTGCCGCAAGCTCCAATGTTTGGCTTTTGTTGATGAGGCAAACGTCGCCATCCACATGTTTACGGGTGCGTGAGTGTGTTCTGAAGTGGCATGACGAACTTCGAACTTGTACGGCCAATAAATTTAGATCAACTTGTTTTTACTATAAAACGAAAAAAAGTGCGGTCAAGATGGTGGATGTTACAGAGTCATATAATCCGGATCAACCGAAAAGGCTAATAATTGTCTATTCTTGACAGGGGTGGAAACTATTGGCTAAGATTAAAATCAGGTTATGTCCTGGTGAATCGTTATTCTCTTATACCCTTTGATTTAAAAAATATATTCAATTTATCAAGGTCGTATCCACGAATGGCAATGGGGGCAAGGGGCAATTGCCCTAGCCTGGTAGATCAAATTTTTACAAAAATTAAATGATTTTTGACCAGAGTTCTCCACAAGCTGAATCAAAATAAGCTTAATTTTGGTATAAGCCTTATATATTGTAAAATACGTGTATTTCAAATTCGAACCTCACCTTTAGGATCTCGGGCACGGTAAAGCGAATGACGCACGATCAGTATTTACTGTGGTCCGTACCATCAGTAGATTTCTACGTAACATTTGCATTAATAACTATACTGACGCCCTCGCGTAGTAAATACTGATCTTGTGACATTCGCCTAAACGACACGAAATACTTTATGGGGAAAGTTGCGTTTTTAATTTTTCCTTGCTTTAGTCCGAAACATTACCTCTCATACATCCACACTGTCTACAAATCTCAAACAAATTACACAATAACATTACCACTTTTTCTCTTCTACACGATGAGTTTAAACCAATTAAGTATAATATAGTTAGGCACTTGAAATTTTATATCAATGCGTAACATTTTATCATCTTTGATGCTCTATGAATAAATAAATGAATACATGATAATTTCGAAGCTTACGCAGGAATTTTTTTTATAATAATGTTTGGCATGCTATATTTGAAATCAGAAGTAAAAGCTTTTAAGTTCAGATGGGAGATAAAAGACGAAAACTCATATTGATGTTCTATTTATACCAGCTTGCAGAAATAAAAAAGTGGCAACGCATTTGCTCTAAAGAATGTATAAATCCTTCTGTACAATTTATTTCGCAATAGGGTTCATATTTGGCTAGTTATCCTGGTCAGATAAGGTTGGTGACGTTTCTAGATAATATATTGCAACAGCTGTTTCCCGTTTTTTCAACGCAAATTCCACACTTCATATTTTCGAATTCCACACCTCTTGCTGCTCGTGCTGTGTTTGGAGTTATACAAAAGATGATTAGAATTTGAAAAACGAGTTTTGCTGGATTCCACAATCTTTGAATACTTCAAATAAACTCTTGACTGCCGCTTAAAATATGTTATATCAACAAATAAGGCTTGACTTCTTTCTGAATTTTGTCTCCTAAAAGGAAATTTTATATTGCGCTAAAAATCTTCAAAAACGAAAAAATATAAAGTCAAGTTCGGGGGAGTTATAGGTTTTTTGGTTGTAATACTGGCACCATTAGACACGCCTTTCAAAATTTCTTCAAAATCCAGTGATTTCTATTATTGAAGGACCACTTATTATATTAACAGTTTATAACGGTTACTCCATCGCAAAGGGACCGATTAACATAAACTATAAATATTCTTGTCTGTAACAGAGGGTCAAAGAATAGCTGACGAACGTCACAAAAAATGCCCCTACTTATAATCTGAAAATTATTCTTCCATTTGAAGTTTTTTGCGATTATAGAACTTCCCTGGCCTATTGACTTGATGGAAAAATTTTGAGGGATATGTACACCAACTAAATATATGTGTATGTAAAATTTGAAGTATAGCAAACATTTGTCATATATTATCTCGAGTGTTGCTTACAAGCATTACAAACGATTAAATTATTATTTAAAAAAGCATCTCGCCCAATATTTGCTTGCATGTTTCAAAACAGTAATCCTATTAGTTTTTTATATCTATATGGATGGCCAAATTGACGTGGAATACTTGCCTGAAAAAATGAGCAACCTCTTTGAATTTTGAGGAATATGTACACCAAATAAATATATATATATATATATATAAAACTTGAGATGTGGTTATTGTCGTCTAGACCAGTTAGGTGAAAAATTAAAGCTTACGCCTTTTGTTGGGTACTTCGACAAAAATTTAAGCAAAGAGGACTCTTTATGCTTTTTTATTCTCTCTAGCTTTGAATGGACTTTGCCATCATCATCAGGAGAGTAGTATGTGAGGATGTTGCTAATTGTTGTTTACGTTCAGGATGAGGGAAACACCCAGTAACATGGTGAAAGCTGGATAGATGGTACAATGGTCAAAATTATATAAAATACACACAACTGTGTGACAAGAACAAGTTAAAAACAGATTAAAAATTTTTAGAACATGAAAGCACTACATCGTGAAGCCATTTGATGATTGCAGGTGCAGGTTGCTTAAATTTTTGTCAAAGTACCCAAGAAAAGGCGGAAGCTTCAATTATTCACCTATATATATATATGTAAAACTTGAAGTATAGCAAACATTTGACATATATTATCTCAGATGTTGCTTACAAGCATTACAAACGACTAAATTATTACTTAAAAAAGCATCTCGCCCAATATTTGCTTGAATGTTTCAAAAAAGTAATCCTAATAGTTTTTCATATCCATATGAATGGTCAAATTAACATGGAATACTTGACTGAAAAAATGAGCAACCTGTTTGAATTTTGAGAGATATGTACACCACATAAATATATATGTACTTATGTAAACTTTGAAGTATAGTAAACATTTGTCACATCTTATCTCAAGTGTTGCTTACAAGCATTACAAACGACTAAATTATTACTTTAAAAAGCACCTCGCCCAGTATTTGCTTGAATGTTTACAAAAACTTAATCCTATTAGTTTTTCATATCTATATAAATGGTCAAATTAACGTGGTATATAAGTGAAATGCAAATAGAAAGGATAATATCAAGCATAGTTATGTAGATATGATTTGTAGAACTTCCATAACAATTTTTTAAGGTGCCTCCCCTGCCCCTTCCTTTTTAGCTGTGAATTCATCACAAACACTTGCGGCAAATCCTCTCCGATTTGAGATCAAAAGCCGATACCTGATCTTTTCGGCTACAAGCGCTTGCAATCCAAGCCAAGCGCTCTATCGGCACATTTGCATTTGGGAAGATTTGTTGAGGCTTGCCAAGCGTGCGGGCGCGGTATTAATACCTTCTCATTAGGTGACTACCAAAGCTATAATTTCAACGAATGCTCTGAGCGCGAATGATTTGAGCACGCACGCATATGCGTGGCTTCTCACCGCATGCGTGTGCTAGTCTGTACGCGCCTTAATGTGCAAAATTCTTGCGCAGTAGATTTTTGACACGTTCAACGGTAAGAGATCATAACCTCATTTTCAGATCTGTCATGCAACCACAGTGCATATTTTGTTTTGAATAACATTACGTGTTTGTGATACGTATTGTGAACAAATAAATTATATTTAAACATGTGTGATAATATGACTTAGTGCGTGGCTATTTTTGTGTGATCATATTGGAGTCGAAGTGACCTACAATTATCTGCTAAGTTGGTCAGGATATAGGAGGCCTTTATAGAAACAGGAAACAAAACCCCCTTTTGATGAGATGTTACTGAATACTAATGAGCTCCTTCAGTAGAAAAATGCTACTAAAATACGTGCGCTTAAGGAGAGTATACATAAAGCTCTTCTTTGCTGTATCAATTTTACTGTTCATAATTCTAGTATTTTTCTTGAATTTTGATATTGACGAACAGCTCAAACATAATAAACAAGAGCTTAGTACAAATTTAAGTGCAATGTATGAAATTCAACTGAAAGATTATGAAAATCGTATAATACCCCATTTGGGGGAAAATGGAGATCCTGCATACTTAGAAGGTTCAGATGCCAAAGAGGGAGAAAAAGCACTGAAAAAAATTGCCCTTAATTCAGTCTTGAGCGACAGAATTCCTCTGAATAGGAGATTAAGAGATCCTAGAAATAAAAAGTAAGTTTGTGTTACATAATTTGTTTTTAGCTGAAGTAGTATTTACAACTTTACAGGGTGTTTCAAATTTAACCCTCACCATTTGGATCTCAGAAACTGTAAGAGATATGAAGTCACTTAAATGGGGGCAAAGTTGCATATTTAAGTAATGAAAAAAATGTCACTTATAAAGTTTTTAAATTCGAAGTACTTCCAGATTTTCCCAAAATGTTTTAATTTTTTCCTTGCTTTATTTGTAGTGTAATTTCAATATAACTTGCACATTAACATTGTCAATTTTTCTCCTCTACAAGATTCCATACTTATAATTTCAATATGACATTTGATCTTTTGTCCTCCAGTGTCATCTTTTTTATAGACTTTTATAGAGGTGAAAAGAGTTTTCAATTCTGATTCCAAAAATGTATAATATGTCAAACATTAATGTTGGCAAACCTTAGTTATTCCAGAAAAACAGAAATCACTAGGTAGGCTTTGAAATTATCAGATTTCATTTGTTTTGTGTACCAGACCTCTAATTGAACATAGCAACAGAGTTTGGAAGACTGAGAGGAAGAGAAATAAATCAAGCAGTGAACAATGTTCAGAGAAGATTTGGTCTTTGCCTACAAAATAACCAACAACATTTTGAACATCTGCTTTGATTTACCTCTGCTATTTATGATTATTATTGTTATTACCATCAATGAAATTTTCATTTTGTGTTCAGATATCACCATACCTTTTTATTTTCATCGAACAACAAACTCATGGCCAACTAAGGAAATACATCACTGACTACAGGACTGAAAAGACCTCTTAAGTGTTCAAAATTCCAATATAGCATCTATCTTAACATTGACAACATGCAATTTATCCCATCTGAAATAAATTCAGGAAACATAAAAGTGATTTTGGGATAAATCTAGTATGCAAAACAAATGACTATCTGATAATTTCAAGGCCTACCTAGGAAATTCTACTTTTTTGACATAATTAAGGTTTGACAATGTCAGTGCATAACATATTATACATTTTCGAAATCAGAATTGAAAACATCTGCACAAAAATCGAATATGGTGTTTATAAGAAAAAATAAGGTTGATGTTGGATGACAAATGTCATATTGAAATTTTAGTTTTGCCTTCTTGTGGCAACTTAATGAGCAATTTATTTTGAAATCCTAGTAGGTACAAATACAAATTAAAACGATTTTGGGATAATTCGTTTTTTTTCTCTCTGTCTCCAGAAGTGCTTCGAATTTTGAAACTTTCTCAGCAGCATTTTGTTGATTACCTAAACGCGCAACTTTGCCCCAGTTTCCGAGATCCTAATGGTCAAATTTGAAACACCCTGTATAGTTCATTTATCAGTTTTTGGCAGTTACAGCAATATGTATTATATGAAATAAGTAAACAGATTGATCGATGGTACCATGTACATAGCTTAACTTCCTTAAGGAAAATCACACAATAAATGTAGATGTTACTTGCACTTGCATACACACATGCACTGGATGATACAGGACCATTATTTTCACGCACTTTCGTAAAATAATCTTATAAATTCAATACAGACTATCAACATTGTAGTTAGTATCTTCAGGCATTACTAGGTCTTATATTGAAGATCAACAAATATGAACACAGACTGCAGGCACGTAACAAGCAAGTTGTCATACTAATAGCAACAAGCATAAATGTGGAAGACTCATATATTGACAAAAATTTTGATGCCAACAAGACAAAACTAAAATCTGGAATTTTCAAGTTTAAACAAACAAACATCTGTACATAGAGACTGATTGCATATGTGTGTGTGAGGGAGATTGATGTTTAAAAATAATTCCTGTAGTTGTACTGTGACCTGCCAAAAACCGTAGAAAGATCTATAGTTTTTTTTACGTCTGCAGAACATAACAAGTCACTGCTGAAAGCCAGACTGTATGTAGTTTCACCAAAAGTATTACATCAGTCATCATATTAATAAAAAATTTAATTACTGTCTAGAGAACAACACATTGGATTAAGATATCATTCAGAAAGTAATTGGCTCATCTTCAACTTTCACAGTGTTACAAAATATGGCATGTACACTTTATTAACATTAGATTTAATCTTTTTTTATTTGTTTATAGATGCCGACTGTTCTCCTATGATCCAAAGTTACAAGCTTCAATTATTGTGATATTTTATAATGAACAATTTAGTGTTATTTTGAGGACTGTTTGGAGTAGTATATTACAGACACCCAAACATTTATTGAAAGAGATAATTCTAGTTGATGATGGCAGCACTGAAAGTAAGTTTGAATGGAAATCTCATAATTAGGTTTACACCAAATGACACAATGAACTTTCAAATAATACAAATGCATTTCACACTTATTTGGAATGAAATAATTCATTTTAAATGTCTTACTACCTTACTAGTTTTCACGTTTTCAAGATCTTTCCATTTTCTGTTCCTATGGCCTTTGGCCCCCTGAGAAAAGTTTTTGGGGCAAGTACACTTTCAAAAAAGTGATCTCTCACTCATGACATTCACATTACTAAACATGATTCTTAACATTCCTAAACTATATTTTTATATTTTTTTGTGACTTTTTTGTGTTAACTTTAAGTGTTTTCCTGTTATAAATATTTAACTGGTCAGCAAATATTAGACTGTGACAATAAATATAACTATCAAGATATACAGTAATGGACAAAAGAATATAGATAAATTAAAATTGTGCTGAATTTCTTTTTTAACTTGTTTTATTAGTACACCAACCTGTATACATAATTTGTTATAGCATAATACTCACTTATACATAAATAAATTAATTGAAAAAAACTGGAACTATGAAGGACAAAAATATATACATAGACAAAGCAAAACAATCATAGAAAATAGAAGCAAAGTTCATTGAATTATAGAAAACCAACCATGTTTGTGTTAATATTTTGTAGCATAACCATTATTATCAATCACCGCCTGGCATCGTCTCTGCATAGAACGTAGAAGTTTCTTATATAAGATTCATCTGTCTCTAAAGAAGCAAAAAGTTCATCCTTGTTTGAATAATTTTTATCTCGTATTTGCTTATCTAAGTATTCTCTTAGATTTTCAATGGGGTTTATATCGGGAGACTGTGAAGGCCATCTGAGAACTGGTATTTTTTCATCCAGAAAGAATTTCTTTGCGAGATTTGAAGTGTGCTTCGGGTCATTATCTTGCTGGAAGATTGATCTTAAGGGCATATTGTCTTCCATGTAGGGTAACATGTCATGCTTTAGTATGTCTGTGTATACAGACTTATCCATAATGCCATCTATTCTATGTAAAGGTCCCATCCCAAACCCCGAAAAGCACCCCCAAACCATAACAGACCCGCCTCCATGTTTGACAGTGTACTTGGGGTTCAATCTTTGTCCACTAGGATGTCTAACGTAATGAACAACATCTGATCCAAACATATTGAACTTGGATTCGTCACTGAAACCTACCCTCTGCCAGTCACAGATACTCCAATCAAGATGCAACCGTGCAAATTGTAATCGGTCGTTACGGTTTTTCCTCGAGATTAGCGACGTGCAAATAACTTCAAATCATTTAATCTTCTACTTATAGTTTTCGTAGAAACACTGACAATTCCTTTTGTCTCGATTTCGGCTTTTATTTGTCTTGGAGTTTTAAACGGATCTTTGGACGAAATTACTTTTATTAATCTAACTGATCTAGCATTTAATTTTCTAGGCCGACCACTTCTCTTAGAGGCTTCCAAGATACGTTTTTGTTCATATTTGTTCAATATTGCCCAAACTGCTTTATGCTTTGGCTTCAAATTTTTGACAATGTCGTCTTGACGTTGACCATCTTTGTATAACTCAATGATCTTAGTTTTCACATCGGAATAAATTTCTGGACCACGCGGCATGGTCTTAAAATCACTCAACTTATTCCACAATACTTGATGAACACAAACTAATCCTCTTCTGACACGAAACTGTACTAAACTAATGTAAGAATTTGTCTACATATTTTTTCCCTCATAAATAAGTGCTTATATTCAGACTTGTATTGTGTTCATTGCAGATAATGTAAAAACAAGGAATTTAGTTTTTCTACTAATAACGCAAATAACGCATTTGTTTATGGAGCAATGAAGTATGAATTCGTTTTCTAAAGGTATTTAGGTAAATATTTATATTTGCCTATATACTTTTCTCCATTACTGTAGGTATCGTTTCCTGTTATGATGTCATAAATTTACCTAGCGATGCTGTAAATCCGAAACCGTCGTATAGTTTTTTTAATAATAATATGATGATCGATATTATTGCAAAAATTAGGTAGATATGGCATTGGAGGTCCAGCAGTTTCTTGGTTAGAAGCATACCTAATCAAAAAGTAAAACTATTATGCTGTATGTTAAAACAGAGGTGCCTCAGGGCAGTATATAAGGTCCCACATTATTTGTAATTTTTTAAACGACAGTGACTCCTGTATCAAACCTGTTGTATGTAAAATCACTATACTAATGGGCCAATTCTTAAAACTTAGACTTCCGCTAGGTTTTTTCGAACAACTCAGTGTAGAGCAAATTTTCAAAATTCAATTTTTCTTAATGGTACAACAATTACAGTGTTTGACAATACTAGATTTCTTGGTCTTGAATTAGGTAGTTATCTCAGGTGAGGTAACCATATGAGTTATATAAGAAGTAACCTCAATAAGGTATGTTATTTTATCAGAATTATAGCTAAATATTTGACTAGAAAAACAAAAGTTGTGTATCACTCAAATTTTGAATCTAGATTAAGGTATGGAATTATGTTATTCGGAAGAGTTAGAGTCTTTCATGAAATTTTTGTAATACAAAAGAGAACATTGAGAAATATTTTGTAGAAGCAAATTCAAGCAATTCGGTATTTTAACAGTTTTAGGAGTGTTTATTCAAGAGTGCCTCATATATCTATTTGAAAATAAGCGATTGTTCCCAGTTAATGAGCCTACAAATAACTATTCTAGAGTTTTCAACTATATTCATCCTAAGCATAGATTTGAACAACGACCTCTTTACAATTGTCTAAAACTTTCTAACCATTAAGCAGCAGTTGTGAAAAAGATTGTACAGCTAGGTGCATTTAAAAAAATACTATAAAAGTATTACTAAATCTAGAACGATATACAATCGATGACTTTTTCAGAACAGATTTGAATAATACTTCAACATTTTATCGTTACTTTTGTTTGGTTGACGATATTTGTATCGCAAGTGGTTTACAGCACTTGTATAGAATTTGCATTTGCAAATAAAGATTGCTGTTATCGTTATTATTATCATTGATTCAATCAAATACTTGGAATTGATTATATATATATATATATATATATATATATATATATATATATCTATATAAAGGAAAGGAGCATGCGGAGACACATATATAACAAATAGAAAAATTAATGGACAAAATCCGCAAAAAGAAGGAAAGTGGATTCGAGCAGAAAATAGGATAGGTAACCCGAGCAATACGTATTTCTGCTTGTTGGCTTCATCAGGCCGTAAATGAATGCACATATGCAACTACAAAAGTACACACACATGCCCATACATCAGGATACGGGTGTAACCTGAGGAAACGAAGATGGAGAGGAACAAAACAATACATGAGCCAACCTACACTTTTGTAGTATAATGGCCAGAAGACCTCGAGTTTTCAAGGCGACATCTAATCACAACCACTCGGACAGATTGTTTTTTTTGTATAATTATTTAGAACAGCAAGTTGAATTTTATTTAATTTGGTGAGTGTGGCTGTACTGTCTTCTTCTTACTGAAAATAACGTTGCAACTTTTTCACGCAGTCTAATGCCTCCTCAGTTGTCACTGGAAGCTCTTCTTTATCGTTGTTTTCTAGTTCGTCTTCCTGACGGATCCTTCATTAACCAACTTGAAGTCTGTCAATTCCTGTGTTGCTATTAAATTATTGTCAATATTTACATACTCATTAAATTTGTCTATATTCAGTAAACTATTAATTTTCAGTAAATCACTTAATGAAATTTCATCTTCTGGATTAAAATCGTTGACTATTTCAGTTATGTTTTTCACTAAACCAGCATGGCGAAAACAATTGCGAATCGTTTCTGGAGTAACCAATTCCCATGCAATAGTAAGCAAATTTATAGCATCTAAAATGCTGACAGCTTTGGTAATGTTGACATCTTCTTGAAGCTCCATAATTTTCATCAACATATGTTTCCGATACATTTGTTTAAGACTCCAAATGACACCCTGGTCCATTGGTTGCAGAACTGATGTCACATTGGGTGGAAAAAATTGAAGGTTGATGTTATTAAGTGAAATATTTGGATGAGCGGGGCAGTTATCGACCAAGAGCAAAATTTTACGATTTTTCTCAACAAGTTCCAACCGGAACGACATGTGAAGTAATTTCCAATCAATTTCCCAAATTCTTCAGCCTTTATTTGTAGCATAGGTCCACTTATTGGAAAATTATTAGCACGCTTTTGTTGAAACCATTTAAACAGCATATCGTCGACTTGGGGATGCAGCGATAGCCGCATTTTTTTTCTTTTGAATTTGATTTCCAGTCATTTTTAATTTTGTCACGGTTTTTCCAAATATTTGACGCAGTGGATTTTTTTATAGCCATACGAGTACATATATTTGGTTGAGATAAACCCTGCTCAAGCTCACTGATTATTATGAACTTCTCGTGTAAATTCACTTTCACGATTCGCACTTTTCGACATTTTTATAACTAATAAATACAGTATAACACTGGTTGTCAAGTTGGAATGCAAACTGCGAAGCCAAATCGCCGTAATCGAGTTAAATGTGCTTCGGGGAGCTACTAAAATAGCTCGCATATAATCGATTAAAATAGTTCGCTATAAGCAAGGGTCTATTTTAAGCGAGTCTATAATATCCGAGGATTTGACATGCAATTATTTATAGGACCTTAAATTGCGTCCATTATACAGGGTGTTTCAGTTTATTGTTGCATAACTTTGAGATTCGATAGAACTTTTAAAATTAATGCATAAAGTCTATATAAACATGGGTCGAAAAATGCGTGGCTTCCGAAATACAGGGTGTTTAAATTTACTTTCTAAAATAGTTTTTTTTAAATATTTCGAACAATATTTGATGTATTACAGTGAAAATTGGTATACAAGGGTTTTTTGGTACGACAAAACGAACCATGGACATAGTTTTACTGTAGCCGCTAGAGGGCGCTTTCTACTGTACCTGTAGTGTATTAAAATGACCGAAAAATTTTTCTTAGTGCAATTTTTTGCTTTTTGAATAAAAACACTGATTCTTCCCACTTTTCAACATAAAAAAGCTCTCTTGTGAATTTTCGTTATAGTTAGCCGTTTTTGAGATATTTCGATTTTTAAGGTTCGATGCATTTTTAATTATTTATGATAAAATAACGCTAAAAAGTCAGTATCTCGATAATTTTTAGAAGTAGGCTGTGCCTCCAAATATTTTTGAAATTGAAAGCAGAATAAGGTTGAACGTCAATTAGTTGACAGTTAGTTTTGTTGTCTGTTGAAACCTGAAACGTTTTTTTGCAATTGTGAATGCCCGAAATTTAGTTTCTTTTACCTGATTTTGTTTGTAAGTTTTATAAAAATGCCATTTTTATTCTCCAATCAAGAGTTAGCGGATATTCATTTTGTGTATGGCTTTGTAAATGGAAACGCAGCAGAAGCAGACAGAGAATATGCACGAAGATTTCCAAACAGACGACATCCAACTCGCTCAGTATTTGTAAGAGTGCATCGCCAAATAATTGAAAATGGTTTTGGAAATCTCCAAAGAGATCAAAACATAAATGTTCGTCAGCGCAGATTTACCCGTATGATTCTGCGTGAGTTTGATAGAGATCCGACCACAAGTGTTAGGAGAGTTTCTGGTGCCTTGGGTATTTCAGCAAGCCATGTTCACCGTGTTCTTAGAAATGACCATAGACGTCCTTACCATTTGCAACCTGTGCAAGGACTACAACCAGGGGACGGAGAACGAAGAATCACATTTTGTCAATGGATTCTTGATAGAACTGATAATAATAGGGAGTTTTTAAGTAACGTTTTATGGACCGATGAGTCATGCTTCACTAAACGTGGAGTGGTAAATTTTCATAATCAACATATTTGGTCGCAGGAAAATCCGCATGCAGTTCGGGAAAGAAATTTTCAGCATGAATTTAGTGTGAACGTGTGGATTGGTATCTACCGTAATCGACTATTTGGACCCTACCTTTTGCCTGGAAGGTTAAATGCTGCGACCTTCTTGGACTTTTTAAAGGCTGAACATGCAAATATGTGGGATAATGTTATGTTAGATTTAAGAAGATTGGCCTGGTTCCAGCTTGATGGAGAATAGTTAGAAACTGGCTGGACGAAAATTATCGAGAAAGAGTATGGGCCGTGGAGGACCAGTCGCCTGACCTCCACGATCCCCTGACCTAAATCCATTAGATTTCTTTGTGGGATTTCTAAAAGAAAAAGTGTACCAGACTCCCGTAACCACAAGAGATATGCTAATAGACAGAATCAGGAATGCATGTGATGAAATAAGGCCTTAATTGAATAATTCGTAGATGTGAATTGTGTATTGAACAATTGGGTTTACATTTCGAGCAACTACTTTAGATTTTGTATGTTTGACCTAACTATCCAATAGCATTTTAGTTGTAAAGAATTAATTTAATTTGTTAAAAATAATATTGGTAAATTAAACAAATTAATATTCTGTTTTTTTTTTGTGTTTATTTGGAGTTAGGAATTATTGCTGTGTTTAAAAACACAATCTAAACGATCATCTTAATTACTTGTAATGCCCAAATCGAAAATGTAGAAAAAATATTATTTTACCCATAAATAATTAAAAATGCATCGAACCTTAAAAATCGAAATATCTCAAAAACGGCTAACTATAACGAAAACTCACAGGAGAGCTTTTTTATGCAGAAAAGTGCGAAGAATCAGTTTTTTTATTCAAAAAGCAAAAAATTGCACTAAGAAAAAAATTTCGGTCATTTTAATACACTACAGGTACAGTAGAAAGCGCCCTCTAGCGGCTACAGTAAAACTATGCCCATGGTTCGTTTTGTCGTACCAAAAAACCCTTGTATACCAATTTTCACTGTTATACATCAAATATTGTTCGAAATATTTAAAAAAAACTATTTTAGAAAATAAATTTAAACACCCTGTATTTCGGAAGCCACGCATTTTTCGACCCATGTTTATATAGACTTTATGCATTAATTATAAAAGTTCTATTGAATCTTAAGGTTATGCAATAATAAACTGAAACACCCTGCTGCGTTTCCATTTACAAAGCCATACACAAAATGAATATCCGCTAACTCTTGATTGGAGAATAAAAATGGCATTTTTATAAAACTTACAAACAAAATCAGGTAAAAGAAACTAAATTTCGGGCATTCACAATTGCAAAAAAACGTTTCAGGTTTCAACAGACAACAAAACTAACTGTCAACTAATTGACGTTCAACCTTATTCTGCTTTCAATTTCAAAAATATTTGGAGGCACAGCCTACTTCTAAAAATTATCGAGATACTGACTTTTTAGCGTTATTTTATCATAAATAATTAAAAATGCATCGAACCTTAAAAATCGAAATATCTCAAAAACGGCTAACTATAACGAAAACTCACAGAAGAGCTTTTATATGTTGAAAAGTGCGAAGAATCAGTGTTTTTATTCAAAAAGCAAAAAATTGCACTAAGAAAAATTTTTCGGTCATTTTAATACTCTACTAGGTACAGTAGAGAGCGCCCTCTAGCGGCTACAGTAAAACTATGCCCATGGTTCGTTTTGTCGTACCAAAAAACCCTTGTATACCAATTTTCATTATTATACATCAAATATTGTTCGAAATATTTAAAAAAAACTATTTTAGAAAGTAAATTTAAACACCCTGTATTTCGGAAGCCACGCATTTTTCGACCCATGTTTATATAGACTTTATGCATTAATTATAAAAGTTCTATTGAATCTTAAGGTTATGCAATAATAAACTGAAACACCCTGTATACGGGTTGCCATTATAAGCAAGTTCATTATAAGTGTATTTCATTTTCCCAAGCCCAATACTGTAAGAAATACTCATTTATTTTGTTAAATTAGATATGAGTCAAGTAGCCCCTATTCTGGGCCTGAAAATATGCGGAATCGTTCCTGCTTACTGAATAAGATTATGCAAGAAATCCAAATCGAAATATTTGTCTGAGCTATTTATTTTACAGGCTCTCTTCACGGTTTACTTGACCATTACCTAGCAACCCGTCTCTCCGACCATCCAGTGAAACTAGTCAGAATACCGAAACGGGTGGGTCTCATTCGAGCACGTCTGGAAGGTGCCCGCAAGGCTGTCGGTGATGTTCTGATCTTCCTAGATGCACATTGTGAGACGACGGTAGGCTGGGCAGAACCTCTTCTACAAAGGATAGAGGAAGACAGGACTGTTGTGTTGGTGCCGCTAATAGACGTTATCGAAGCCGACACTTTTGCTTACTCGACGGATGGTACGTATCATTGTATTCGTTGGATGTGCGATGACAGCGCTACCTAGCGGATTTCGTATATAAATGTTTTTGCTTGACACGTTCAATATAAAAATAAACTCATATCATTGATAGTAACAAACATTATCATTATTATTAGCACCACAAAAGTATGCGGAAAAGTCCGATGGCACTGTTGTGTAAAGTCTTTTTTTATGCTGGATAATGCACGAAGCGTGCTGCGCTATCTTATTCAGCACATTCTTGTTTCTTCAATAAGAGATCTTCACGAGTTGTTGTTGTTGTTGAAGATTTATTTAGCATTAATGCTACAATGTCAATTTTGTATAATGATTCGGTTACATATTTTTCTTCAATCCATTTGCTGTTATTTTACATTGTTGTCTATTAAAATTAAAATGACGTCACCATGTATTTTGATTATTCATAAAGTGATTTTTTAATTTCACCTTGAACATTTTTAAATTCGAACTCTGTTTAATATAGGTCACCAACTTGGCTCTGATTACTCAGTACATTTCTGAAGTACTGGACGGTCAGGGACAAGTTGATGTCATCTACACAGATATTCAGAAGGCGTTTGATCAAGTTGATCATTATGCACTTCTGGATAAGCTTAAAACAGTGGGTATGTCTGATGCAATGCTGTCGCTCATGAATTCATATTTGAGGGATAGAAGGTTATTTGTCGAATATGGTGGTCATAGGTCGAGTTATTATCGGGCCACGTCCGGCGTACCTCAAGGGTCAAATCTAGGTCCATTATTGTTTTTGATATTTATTAATGACTTGTCTTTTGAACTGAAGTGTTTCCATTTGTTTTTCGCTGATGACCTTAAAATCTGCACGTCAGTCAAGACAGTCTGAATGTTTCGAAATGTAAAGTTATGACTTATACAAAGGTTAACTATTTAATTTATGATAATTATAACATCAATGGTCAGGTTATAGATGTACCTCTTATAGAGACCTTGGAGTCACTTTTGATACCAAGCTAACGTTTACTGAGCATATACTCAATATCTCGTCGGCTGCCACTCGACTACTTGGTTTCTGTATCAGAAACTGCAAGGGTTTCTCCAATGTTGATACATTAATGACTTTATTTTTTACTTTTGTCAGGAGCAAGTTGGAGTATGCGACTCTGATATGGTCTCCTATATACCAAAATTCTGTCGTGATCCTTGAGGCCATTCAACGTAAAGCTTTAAAGTATTTTTACCTTAAATGCACAGGTTTTTATCCAGAAAGAGGTTGGACCATAGTGCCCTATTAGAGTTTTTCAATTTGGATTCACTGTCAACAAGACGAAACATATTTGCTTTGTCGTTTTTGTATGGCCTCATTCACAATAAAATTGACTGTCAAAATTTACTTGAAAAAATATGTTTCCGCGTTCCAAGGCTAGGGAGTCGACAACAAACGGCATTCTATTGTCAAGCTGGCCGTATAAATGTTATGACAAAATCGCCAATTAATCTCATGTGCTGCGTCATGAACAGTGTTACTGAATCTTGGAATGTGTGATACATAGATTCAAGTCCAAGAACCATGTCTCTTTAATTGTTATTTTTTTCAGCATTTCCTGTAATTGGGTTTATAACCTATTGGAAATAAATAAATAAATAATATCATTATTCAATTTATTAAATTCAAATACTCCCTTTTGAAATATAGATTTACTAGTTATGCTACTATTACAATTTTGCAGATTTAAAATCTATACTGTCTCTAGTTTCGGAGTTATGATAATTACTATTTAATTTTGTAAAGTTCTCTAAATGTGGTGGTAATAAATGATCTTAATTTGAATATGAAAACGAGAACTAAATAACATATAGAAATTTACACATTCAACCACTGCAGTTCTTCTAAGATAATCTACATAATCCTAGCATATTTGTTTTTATTTAAAATGATTCTCATAGCTTTATTTTGTAGAATTTTTAATTTTGAAAATATGTTTTCATTTGCTGTAAACAAGATGGTAGAACAATATAAAAAATGGGGAAGAAGTATAGTGTTATACTCAATTTTTTTGGAATACAGCCTAAGATTATGGGAAACTCTATAGAAGTAATTTACCTTTTTCGATATTTTTGAAATAATGTATTCATAATGTTCGTGAAACAGTAGCTTACTATCCACATATATACCAAGATATTTAAATGACTCGACTACTTCTATTTTTTCATCATTAATCATGAGCCTATTTGTATTGTCACCTAAATGTTTCCCTATTGACATACATTTTGTTTTATTAGTGTTTAATTTAAGTTTATTGACATTTAATCAATTCATAATTTTTCAATATCACTATTTAACTATTTAAGTGTATCGTCCGCAAATATTTGAATTTTGCAGTATTCTAAACTGTCAGAGATATCATTTATATAAATAATAAATAGTAACGGCCATAATTTACTCCCCTTTGGCACCCCTACTGATATATTTTGAACACTTGACATAATATTTCCAACTTTAGTTTTTTGACTTCTGTTTACTAAATGATTTTGTAAAATGTGTAATACTGATCATTTAAAGCCACAGTGACGCAATTTCATTATGAATTTTTCCCTATCTATAGTCTCAAATGCCCGTTTGAAGTCCGAAAATATTGTTACAATATAATTTTTCTCATCTATACTTCTTCTCCAGTCTTCCACCACCATTTGGATTGCCGTTTCCGTGGAACATTTTTTTTAAATCCAGCTTGATTTTTTGTCAAAATTTTGGTTTCTTCAATGAATTCTATGATTTGTTCGTATATTATCCCTTCGAACAGCTTCTCGACATCGGGCAAGACATTCATCGGTCGCATATTTGTATACATACGATTTAAAATGAAATGTCTCCTTATCAAATTAGATGTTATCTCTTTCCTGTTTTTATTTGCCTTTCCTCGGAGATGAAGACTCTCTCTCTCATATTGAATATTTGAAGGGTACCAGATTATATTATCAGCCGCTGATGATCTTGAATGTCTCAATCAGGTTCCCTCGTAATCTTCGTTCAGCGAGTGTTGCCAGATACTTAGCGGGAGAACGTTATCGGATTATCGCTGTGGCCAGAAGTTCTATCAGTAGGTGAGCCAGCACAAGCGTAGGTAGTACTGGCAACGTTGCGTTACATCACCATGATGGATAGGCGGTTTCGTATAGGTACTCGTAATAGTGAGCAAGGCGTTCGACTTAATGTGCTGCCACCATGCGGATTTTAATAATCCGCTTTAATGTATGTATGGAGTTCGACAGGGAACAATAATTGCACCCCTTCTTCTTTTTAATATATATATATATATATATAGATACATGGTAGTTTTCACGTCAAATCTGTACTGTTAGTGGCAATATGAAACTAGCCCACTGTTTGTCTTTTGTTTCCATGGATGATGTGATTTTTTTCCTTAATTTTGCTGTGTTGTTCTATTAAAACCTTAATAACTCAAAATTTAGTGATTTTATCTGAACCAAACTTTATACCAAAAAAAGCTTATAAAAAATTGAATCCAAACTTGCACAAATATACAGGGTGGTGCATTTGAAATTTTTGAGGAAAAGTACAATTCGCGTTTTTGACCACACTGTATGAGCAAAAATGAAAATTCGAAAAAGTAACAAATAAGATAAAAGCTGAGGTGTCTAAGTTATTTTTGATACAAAATTCAGCACTCCAAATTTCAAAATGGCGGAATGAACTGTTCCCGAAGTGGACGGTTTTTCTGAACAAAACACCTTACATCTCAGTAGCTAATTACCAAAACCCCATAGTATGTTATGTCAATCTTTTTCTTTTGAATTGGTTTATCCAAATATGCAATAAAATGTGAAGAATTCCATTTAAAAAATTACAACTTTGATATGTAGGTCAAAATTGGGACACGATGTATAATTGCCAATATTAAAGAAATGTGCCCTCAAATGTCATGTATAACATGCCATGAATAGATTTTGCCAAAATGTATTTGTTTTCATAAACATATTTCGTCCACACATGGATGGGCCACCCTGTATAAAGAAAACAAATCTCCAATATGAATATACAGGGTGACTTTGAAGTTGAGTAATTAATTTTCAGATAATGATGGTAGAAGGAAGATAAACCAAAATATGTGTGTAAAAATAAAAAAAAAAACATTAAAAAAATGTTACCTTGTTTTATAAAGTATCCTCCCGACAAGTATTTCAGTGCGGACCTGTATTTGATCGTGCGGTCTTGGAGCACCGGCAGGCCCTCCCCTGTAAGGTCTTAAGTCTCCTGATTCACGAGCCCTTTGTAGTATATTAACAAAGGCACGAGGGGTTGGTTGCACTCGATTGGGAAACCGATTCGCACAAATCCGTGATGCCGCGGCAGCATTTTGTAAAGACTGTAAATAAGAATCATTGTGGACATGATTCTTCAGCATTTTCGTAAACATGTGCCATTTTTTATTTCGTTTGAGCCACGCAACAAACACCACTATTCACTCACGCGTTACCGACTGACTAAAAACATGGTGATAAACGTTTCAAATTCTTTCGCTTTTTTGTTTCCGATGCGATGAACCGATAACGCGGATTATATCCGTTCTTGCCAAATACGAGCACATAATATTATTATTGAGACAGGGCGGTATTCAAACTTCTAAAGGGCTATAACTTTGTTACTTTAATTTTACCAGAAAAATGTTAAAGGAAAAAAACATTTATTTTGATCAGATCTACTCACTGTTAAAGTAAATGACTCAACTTCGAAGTCACCCTGTATATATATATATATATATATCACGTAAACTAAATCATAAATATCTTGCTACATTCGATGGGATGAACTCATCCAATACATTAAAAAGAAACTTGGGTTTCTATTATATAAATTCAGATATTACAGTCGAATTTTCAGTGAAACTCAATTAAAGTTTTTATATCGAACATTATTTAAATTCCACCTAACATATAGAACTATTATCTGGGGACCCACGAATAATAATCATCTGAATTCTTTACAAATAATACAAAATCTATTCAGAAAAACAATTCATAATAAACCTTTACTATATCCCCCCAAATCGGTGTTTATTGAATGAAAACTTTTAGATATAAAAAAATATTTTGGTATATTGTTATACTGGATTTCCAATTCGACCATTTATAAAACATGAATATGATACTAGAAATAAACAGATAATTATTGCAACACCAAAAAAGAAATAATGTTGAAATCTTCTATATGCTTAGGTCCAAAATTATATCATAACTTGCCAAAATATATTAGAAAAAACCGAATATCATTATGAAAAATAGATTTACAGGAGTGGCTTTTGAAAACTGATTTAAACATGATATAATATATTAAAAACTAACATATATCTTTTCTTCATTGCTAGCTAGGATCCAAAATTAATGTACATATTACATTTATGTTATATAGTTTTTTTCTTCAGTCCTATCAGTTTATTATAACTGCTAGGTTCTACAGGGTGACTTTGAAGTTGAGTCATTAATTTTCAGATAATGATTGTAGAAGGAAGATAAACAAAAATATGTGTGTAAAAATAAAAAAAAAATGTTACCTTGTTTTATAAAGTATCCTCCCGACAAGTATTTCAGTGCGGACCTGTATTTGATCGTGAGGTCTTAAGTCACCTGATTCACGAGCCCGTTGTACTACATTAACAAAGGCACGAGGTGCACTCGATTGGGAAACCGATCCGCATAAACATGTGCCATTTTTTATTTCGTTTGAGCCACGCAGCAAACACCACTATTCACTCACGCGTTACCGACTGACACATTGACTGAATAAAAACATCGTGATCAGCGTTTCAAATTCTTTCGCTTTTTTGTTTCCGATGCGATGAGCCGATAAGGCGGATTATATACGTTGTTGCCAAACACGAGCACATAATATTATTATTGAGACAGGGCGGTACTCAAACTTCTAAAGGGCTATAACTTTGTTACTTTAATTTTACCACAAAAATGTTAAAGGAAAAAAACATTTCTTTTGATCAGATCTACTCACTGTTAAAATAAATGACTCAACTTCGAAGTCACCCTGTATATATGTTATGTATTAGCATGAAATCCTTTTGTGGCATATAAATTTGTTCACAATTTGTAATTGATGTGAATAAATTATTATTTTTATTATTATGAATACAATGTTGTCTAGATGGAAACTAGACCATTTATTCCTGAAATATCGCCCCAAACCATCAACCAAAGATTTTTTCATTACACATTCACATTGTTCACAATAATTTGCAGTATTCTCGCACCTTGGCAATCAAGTCACTTTCCCGTTTTGTTATCTTTTACTTATTTTTGATACAGGTGAGAGCAGCTTTCAAGTGGGCGGTTTTTCCTGGTCAGGTCACTTCACGTGGATAGACGTCCAACCCAGTGAAGTAGAAGCAAAGAAGGCTGTAAAACCTGTGCGATCGCCTACGATGGCCGGCGGTCTGTTCGCCATCAACAGAAAATTCTTCTGGGAGATCGGTTCGTATGACGAGCAGATGGATGGTTGGGGAGGCGAGAATTTGGAGATGTCTTTTAGAATATGGCAGTGCGGAGGCAGACTGGAGACTATACCGTGTTCCAGGGTTGGCCACATTTTCAGGTGATTAAATAACGACCATTTTTTGGATACTTAACAATGTCTTGATTGAGATTTTTAACACGCTTTTATAAGCGTGGCCTGTATGTATGGGCTTTGGGCATAATTTTCAACAATTTCCAGAAGTTTGATTAACATGAAACTTCGAACACGTATCAAGAACCGATGGCAATGCAATAATTTGATAACAGTTTTCCATTATCTCTATTAGGACCGCCAGGATTGATAAATTCTTTTATAGATCCTCTGTAGGGGAGTAAGAGAGATAGAGCTAGCGCGCGAACTGCGCCTGCGTGCAGTTTCGGACTTACTCTTTGTTGGTTTGGGCTCTCGGCACAGTACAACGGAAGCAGATACTTTTTCAAAGTAGTGCGTTCTCACCTTGTTCCTTGCGAATGTTGCCATTAATAATGACCGACCGTCCACAAGATGCAAGGTTTTACAGTCGAACATGCAGTCATTTATCTAGACTCGCGACTGTGGACAAGCTTATGTAGCACCTGGTCGTGTAAGATCTTTAGACGTTATTCGGCTTGAAGAACTTGATTGCTCTAAGTTAACAGTGAAGGTTTAAATGAAATGATTAGATTACGAAATGATTCGTAAGACATTTCAATACCACATGTCCACAAAAAACTAATTGATAAATCGTACTAAATAATGAAGGGTTTAAAAAACTAAACAACACGCTTTTACAGCTAACCCATCTAAAAAGTAGAAAATAATTTTTAATTACAGTGTTTATACGGGGATGTCTTTTAAGTTTTGCATATGGAAATAAAACAACACGGTAGGTAGTTTTAAATGAATTTATTGTTTTTGGAAGTATTCTCCGCGAAGATTAATACACATCTGCATGCGCTCGAACCAATTTTCGAACCACTTATTCCACTCGTTTGCTGGCAGGTCCAAAACGGCTTTTATGAATGAGTCAACTGCTTCTTCTGGTGACTGGAACCTATCTTAAGACACTAGTGTCCACAAGTCCCATTAACACTGTATCGGAATTAAGATAAAGAATAGTTCCAGCTTGTGATAGAATAAAAAATACTCCAGGGATATTTCAACGAGTGCGCAATTCCATGAGAAGCAGGGCGGAAGCATGCATACTGAGGGGTGCCATTTTCAACAATTTTTGTAATCATTCCGTTGGTTTTAATGTTACGTTTATGTTGTCAGTTGTTGTTGTTCATTACCCCTAATGTGTTTAATTTTTCCAATTAAATTAATAATAATTTTGCAAGTTAGACAAAAGAACGGTTTTTATTTTTTTACTCAAAAATGGCGCATCGAAGGAAAACAATTCAAGAGAGAGCATTTGTTTTACATTGAACGGGGAATTAAAAAATAATTTTTATTTGTCAAAAAACCATTGGCGTACCATTTTTTTCTTAAAAAATATCGAAGTCAATACCCGTATGCACGCCTCTGCTAAAGCTAAAAATTATTTTTGTATTGAAAAATATGCAAATTTATTAACTTTCACTACCTACTAAATATCAATGAAATATCTGAAGCGGTTCTGGAAATATTAATTAATTTCCATTTTTTTCCTAAAACTTCAACACCCCAAGTTTTTGTAAGGGAACATTTTTGCACCATAGTTTATAAAGCAAAATATCATTGATTTTTCACACACCCTGTATAAAGAGACTAGGTACTGTGATGATACCGTATCTCTTAGATGACTCTTTACACGGAAGTATTTGCACGAGACAAAACATGTCGCTGTAAATCTCGAACCTCTTTTGTGACACACATTGTATGTGATATCAGTTATTTGATGATCCAGTATTTATGTTTAATTTTTGTCAGTTTAACACTTGAGCATTTTTTGTTTTCAGGGCTTTTCATCCATATACATTCCCGGACAATAAAGACACTCACGGGATCAACACAGCGCGTCTTGCTCACGTTTGGATGGATAGCTATAAACGATTTTTCTTCATGCACCAACCCTCATTGGAAAATAATCCTATCGTAGGAGATCTCACGCACAGAAAACAGCTCAGACAGAAACTTAGGTGTAAAGATTTTAAATGGTTAGTAGTATAATTACAATAGCACATCCTTGCGCATAGACACACAATCGTACAAACATTGGGTTACCATCTGAAACAGTGAAAATGACAATATTGCACGTTTTTGTGACATCTTATATACATGATGTCCAGCGAGAAAGTTTACTTTTTGATTTAAGAAAAACAAATACAAGCGTAATGAAAAGAAAATATTTATTACTATCAACATATTTAGTAAATTCGGCGGGTTTTATTTCTTAAATATCATTGCGTCCAAATTTTTGCCACCCCTTCGGACACACTCTTCTAGTCGCGCGCACAAATTCTGAAACACTCTCTTGCAGAGTTCCGGAGTGATGTTTATTTCTCGTCGAATGTTGTCTTTAAGCTTCTTCAGTATTCGTGGATTATTGGAATACACTTATGACTTTAGATAACCCCACAAAAAATAATCGCATGGCGTTAGGTCGGGTGACCTAGAAGGCCAGTGAATGTGTCCAAACTTCGATATAACTTTTTGAGGTAGCTGCTGTTGATGTCTCTTTTTTGGGTTCGTTGGTGCCCAATATCTGCAATTTTGCTTGTTCACATAACCGTCTAAGTGAAAATGGGCCTCGCCACTGAAAACAACGTTCTCGAGTCTGCGCTGCGTAGGAAAAATATTCAACATCCTTTCAGCACATACGTAATCACTTTCCTTTAAAGCATAGACTGATTCTACTTTATAAGAGTGAACACCCATTTTTTTCTTCATTATGCCATGTAGTGTTGACCTAGGGATTCCCAAAGCAGCGGAATGCTTCCGTATAGAACGCCGAGGATTTGCAATGATCGAATCATTTACTCGACGCACACTTTCTTCGGTTGATACAGTAGGTGTGGGGCCAGAAATGGGTTGACTAAGATAGAACTTGTAAAAAGTATAAAAACAAAAAAACTTTTTACAAGTTCTATCTTCTCTACGTTCATTTTGAAACACCTTGTGGCTGCGCAACCTCAACGAAGAGTAAGTTGTTTGACAATTTAAATCTGTCCTGTTTTCTTTGCTAGCATCACGATTGTGTTTTCAGAATCCTGATGAAGGCTCCATAGAGAATGCCGAAAGCTTGATTTTATCGTCAAAAGAGTCAACTTAAGCCTAAAAATTTGCCAATTTCCCAATTAACAATTAATTGTATTTTGTGCCCAACTGGTCGTTGGCTTTGGCAATGACTACTGCTCATATATATATATATATATATACAGGGTGACTTTGAAGTTGAGTCATTAATTTTCAGATAATGATTGTAGAAGGAAGATAAACCAAAATATGTGTGTAAAAATAAAAAAAAAATAAAAAAAAATTTTTACCTTGTTTTATAAAGTATCCTCCCGACAAGTATTTCAGTGCGGACCTGTATTTGATCGTGAGGTCCCCTCTGAGGTCTTAAGTCACCTGATTCACGAGCCCGTTGTACTACATTAACAAAGGCACGAGGGGTTGGTTGCACTCGATTGGGAAACCGATCCGCATAAACATGTGCCATTTTTTATTTCGTTTGAGCCACGCAACAGATACCACCATTCACTGTCACTGACTGTATACAAATGAATGAGATACTTGTAAAAACATCGTTCCAAATTCTTTCGCTTTTTTGTTTCCGATGCGAAACTTCCAAAGGGCTATAACTTTGTTACTTTAATTTTACCAGGAAAATGGTAAAGGAAAAAAACATTTCTTTTGATCAGATCTACTCACTGTTAAAATAAATGACTCAACTTCGAAGTCACCCTGTATATATATATTAATGTATCATCAGCAAATAGTTGAATTTTGCAGTGTTGTAAAATATCAGGAATATCGTTAATATATAAAATAAATAGTAATGGACCTAATTTGCTACCCTGTGGCACACCTACCGGAATGTTTTTAATGTTTGATAATGTATTGCCAATTTTAGTTTTTTGACTTCTATTGATTAAATAATTTTGTAATAAGTTGAATACTAAACCTTGAAATCCATAGCAATGCAATTTCGTTAACAATTTCTCTCTATCTCAAATGCTCTCCTGAAATCTAAGAACAATGTTACTGTAATCTTTTTTTCATCCATATTTCGCTTCCATTCTTCTATCATTTGAATTGCTGTTTCTGTAGAATACTTTTTTCTGAATCCTGCTTGAAATCTTGTCAATATCTTATTTTCTCCAATATATTCAATGACTTGTTTATATATGATTCCTTCTCGACATCTGGAAGTACATTAATTGGCCGCATATAACTCAGAATTTTGGACTTTTGGAACAGGAGTAATTGTAGGACATTTTAATTTTGAAGGAAATTCGCCATACACTAAACAGTGATTCACTAACAATAATAACTTCTCTCCAATAATGTTGAAACATTCCTTTATAAATATTTTTGAAAGAGGTTCACTATTATTTCTATTCGATTTCAATCTTGTAATAGCTTTTGAAAGATGGCTGATATTTATTGTTTGGAATTGTCTCATAGAAGAATTATAAGTAACTTGCATGTGACATAGATTTGTATCCCCATCTTCGATTGATTCCACTATCTCATTTATACTTTCTATAAAATAAGCGTTCATTCGTTCTGCAATCAATATTTTTTGTGTTACTATACCATCTTCGAAGCACATTCTTCATCATTCATTCTTCCTACTGGGAGATACAATATTTTTTAGTGTCTTCCACATCATTTTACTGTTATTTTTATTGCTATCGATTTTGTTTTCATATTTTTTCTTTTCGTTCCTAATATTTGTTAAACACTTGTTTCTTGATTTCTCATATTGTATCCAATCTTCCTCAGTTTGAGTGATCATAAACTTTTTATAGTCATTATCACGCGTCAGTTTAGAGACTAGAAATATTTGTGAAAACCAGAGTGTTTAGCTTTTTCCTTTGATATACCACTTTCCTAATTTGGGCGTCTCTCATGCAGTTCTCCATACAATCCATAATTTTTGAGAAGTAAGTGTCAGCATCATAAAAAATTTCAGTGATATTGGCTTGTAAGAGTGACTCTTGTAACGTTTCAAAGTCAATAATTGTCATTTCTCTTGATTCTATCTCATTAAACATATTTTCCACCTCGAAACATATCCACGAATGGTCGCTTATTTTTGGAGTATGTAAAACCTTAATACTCAAATTCTGTTCATTGGTTATTACCTGTTTAATTTTTTTTAAATAAAAATCTTGATTATCAAAATTTATATTGAAGTCTCCCAAGTGCACAGTGGAGTAATTTCGATAATACTGTTTTTCACAAACACTATCAAAAAAGTCCAAAGATCAGCTAATATTACAGCTTGGAGATCTGTAGTAAACGTGTACATTGTAGTTTTGTTTCATCTTCATTTCAAAATTAATATATCACCATTGATAATCAACAAATACAGTATTATGTGTTTTTACTTCATTCTCAGTTTGTATATTAGTATGCACCTGTATGTTACGAAACTGTGTTTACTCTTATAACATCATAATGATGAATATCAATCTCCATATCTTCAATATCTTCTGTAATATGTGTTTCAGTCACGCAAAGAACTAATGGTTTCCACTTAAAAAACTTCATCCCTGTGCGGTAAAAATCCTTGAATATTTATATGGTATACATTGTTAGTAAATTTTTTATCCTGTAATTGCTATTTGTCACCATAAGAAACTTTATTTTTTGATTTTTCATATTCGATTTGGACCATGATGTGTACAAAATTTCCGAAAGGCAGCTGCGTATGAATCACCACTCTTGAAGGGAGCCTCGATAGCAAAAACATGTTGCGCTCCTGTCCAACGTTCCATTGTGACTATTTAACCCGCACGCCGAACGCCTCGATCAATACCTCTCTCCACTTCCTCGCGTATACGGTTGCCGCGTAATTCAAATTTGAAATGTGAACTTTCCCTCACCCTGTACAAAAAAGATATTATATGGTAAAATTCATATTAATAATAATCATATACACCTTTATCACAAAAATGGTGTACATTGTACATACTGAAAGTGGGACTCAACTGGCGAAGTTTAGCAATGCTTATAACTTTCACTTCCTATGCCACTGGGTGAGTATTATAATAGCAAAAACATTTCGAAAATGAGATACGTATTATGTTTTTTCTATTTCCGTCGGTCTCTGTCAGTCTCCTAATCCTTGACCCCTCTTTAATTTGTAAAGTACCGGTTGGATTTCGATGAAATTTTCACACATGAGTACTACGATGCCAAGAGCAAAAAGTCTTTCTAGTTTTTGAAAATCGGTCCAGTCCAGTCGGTGGCCAAAAAAGAAGGAAATTAAAATCGCCTGAACTTCGTTTTTTGAATTTGAGAGGCTTCTGATCCTATTCATAAAACATTTTATAGTGACAGATAATTGGGGATTGAGCTAATGGGTTGTAAATGTTACGTCTTTACTATCAATCAAAGGCGTTCTATCATTAAGAAGCTTCTGATCCCGATAACAACGGGAAAATTGAATGATAAAAGTCCGATGTATGTGATTATAATTCGAAATAAGTTTCAATCGGCGTGGCGATGCTGTGGCGCTTCATCATTATGCAGGCCACTGCCGACTGTGGCAAGCACTAACTAGAACTGGTGTACTGCAGCGCTGTAGACACGGACACACCACTACAGGGGAATACTTATATCCGGGTATAAGGAGTGCGTACCACTTTAGTGTTTTGCGATGTTTTTGTAAATGATGACTCTATTGTTTTTATATCTACACATATCTTATTCTGAATTTTATGATACTTAAATGTACCCATCCATTTTGCCTAACCTTTAATTGGCATCTCAGTATGTGATGGTTATCTTCTCAAGTAGATTGACTCAGTATTTATTCCGCATTGATATACAACAGACACTGACGGAAAACCCTACATATCCAGGGTGACAGGTAAATAGGTGTAAAACATTTTAGGAGGTGATAGTACAGCCCCTTTGCTATCGAAATTAGTATATAATACCATACCCTATATTCAAAGGTTGAAAAGTTATTGAAGATTTAAGATTTTTTAAAAACAATCCATATTTCAGAGTAAAAAAGTCGAGAGAGAAAAAAGTTGGCGATTAAACATTTGTTTTTTGTGGTTTTGGGTTATTATTTCAATAATTAACTATTATAAATTAAAAAAGATTCGAAAACAATACCAAACAACGTATTTATTTTCATTCAAAAATGTTTAACTAAGAAAAACAAATAACGTTTTACAGTAAGTAAGGTGTTTTACAAAAAAATCAGTATACAAAAAAACGTACAAACAATTTAAATAATATCCTTGTTTCATAAGGAATCTAAATTGGTATGATAAGTGCACAAAAACTGTGTGAAACTAAACATAATGTATTGTAATACAACAATAGGGAGTAAATTTACCAATGGCTTGTCTCCTATTTTCACAACTCTCTGATTGATAAGAAAGTGTTTTTGTGAAAATAAAGTAACTGTAAGCTATGGGATAGTTATTATTTTAAACTACGGTTAAGTTACACGATTAGATTATTTACACAGTTGTAATTGTACTACAGAATAATAAAAACTGACTAAAAGTTACTACAATTGGTAAGTAAAATACAATTATGAAATGAAGGTAAAATTCATTGCAATTGTTCGAACTGACGCCCGCCGTTTCTTATGCAAGCCCGTAGTCTTTTTCTCATATTGTTACGCATGATGCGGCCAGTTAGTTGTCCTCTGATAGTGTCAGCAGCAGCAATAATTCTTTCTTTCAACTGTGCAGGAGTGTCTATAAATACTAGTCACACGGTGTTAAATCTGGGCTCCTCGCTGGCCACGGTGTCGGTCCACCTCGGCCAATCCAGCGACAAGGATATTTCTCGTCCAGCCACTGTCTAACACCCAGACGGAAATGCGCGGGACAGCCATCGTGTTGGTAGATCATCTGCATCCTGATATTCAGAGGCAGGTCTTCGAGCTACTCCCAAAGTTCGGATCTCAAAAAGTTTTCATAGGATTCGCCATTCAGGTTGTCAGGCAGAAAAACTGGTCCAATTAGATACGTATTAATGATTCCCATCCACACGTTTGCCGAAAATCTTCTTTGATGGGCTCTTGGCTTTGCCATGTGGGGATTTGCCTCTCGTGGGGCCCAATAATGTAAGTTGTGATAATTTGTTGTCCCCTCTCTGTCAAACTTAGACTCGTCGGTCCACAATATCTTAGTTAAATAGTTGTTTTCTTCTTGATCCCGATGAAGCATGTATCGACAAAAATCAATTCTTTTTGCGGGATCTCCTTCTTCTAATACTTGAACCGGTGTGCAATGGAAAGGGTAAAGTCTCGCCGAATGCAAAACGAACCAAACTTTCCACTGAGTTAAACCAAGCTGCTTTGCTATAACTCGTGTAGAAGTCATCGGGTCTCTGCCGTAGCATTCCAGTATTGCCTCTCGATCTTCGTCGTCAAACAACCGAGGTCTTCCAGCATCATGACGTCTCTCATGAACCTGTCCACTTTCCTTCACGCGTTGGTACACAGAAGCAAATACTCGATGACTCGGTATTCGCCGATTCGGAAAACGTTTTTCATATTCTCGCCTGGCTTCAACGGAATTTCCATCACTTAAACCATAACAAAACAGAATATCAGCGTATTCTTCGTTACGGTAACTCGCCATTATTAAAACTGATCAAAAAAGTAAAAGTTCGTCCTACCGCGTTAAAGGTTGATATTCTACTAACTAACCTAAGCCTTAGTTCCCTTTCCTTGATCCGTCAGCTGTGTCAATTCATAACATACGCAGAGCTTGCTTCCGAGGAGCGACGACAGATTCCGAATACTTAAACCTGAATAACGGCACAGGGCACAAAAAATAACAAAAAGGGTCGAACCATGAAAGGCTCGGTTTACCTGCTCAGTACAATGAAATGCGCTTAGCGGTCCTTTCTAGCAGACTAATATTGTTTTGTTAAATGGTTTACTTACTGATATGTTTTTTATACCATTTTAGAAAAATAATGAAACGAGGAAGTTTTTGCAGTTATTTGTACATTTTCTTTATTATGATTTTTTTGAAAAAAAAGACTTCTCAATGTGAAAGTTGAAAATAAAAATGTTCATTTAACATTTAAATGAAAATAAATACGTTTGTAGTGTTTTCATATGTTTTTTAATTTATGAGAATTATTTATTTAAATAATAACCTGAAACCACCAAAAAAAGAATGTTTAATCACCAACTTTTTTTATCTCAACTATTTTACTCTGTAATCTGTAATTTACCTGTCACCCTGTATGAGAAACACAGATTTGTATGATGCAGATATCTTTAAGCAACAGAAGACTTGTGAACTGAAGTTCGAATAGTTCAATACTTCCATCGTTTAGGTAGTCGTAGATTTTGAAAATTGATTAATTGGCGGCGGAACGGACAAAAAATAAAAATCGCTGGATCACAGCGTTACGTTTCCGAGATTCCTACTCATTTGGAGGGGTTGAATATTCTGAGGTCACCAGATATTTTTAAATACTAGAATAGATATTTATGTTATTTTTAGGTACCTCGACAACATATATCCCGAGAAATTCGTACCGGACGAGAATGTACAAGCATACGGTCAAGCCCGCACTCCGTTTGATATGTGTTTGGATGACCTGCAGCTACCAGAAGACAGAGCCGGACCACTTGGACTGTATCAGTGCCATCCCCGTCTAGAAATTAGTCAATTCTTCTCAATGAGCGCGCGCGGGGAACTTAGGAAGGAAAATGTGTGTGCTGAAGTTTTTAATGACAGGTCAGTCTGAAAATGTATACATAATTTTCTTTTTTCACTACTAATCCCAGAAGTCACCATTATTGAGCTAGGTAGATGATAAGAAAACACCTATGTAAATTATGAATGTAATTTCATAGAATAAATGAGTATTTCTTACAATATTTGGCTTAGAAAAACGAAATATCAGGTAACCAAATAAGCTCGTGCGGTTGCTGTATATCGCACATTGCCATGGATGTTGTTGATCGATACGATTGTTTGTTACCTGTTGTCACTTTAGTATGAATCCCTCTTTTCTCACAACTTGCAGAAATGTTCAGAGTGAGTCCTGAGACTATTCGTTTGCATCTTCATCAGCTAGGAAAGACGTGAAAGTTAAGCAAATGGGTCCCACATGAACTGACAAATGATAACAAATTAAGTCGTCTTACCAGTTGTTCAGCAAACATTTCACGCAACGCTAATGAACCATTTCTTAATCGGTTATTAACCTGCGACGAAAAAGGATCTTGTATTCGAATTCTATGCGTTCGTATCATTGGTTGTCGGCTACTGATTCGGTACCACACACGCCCAAGGCTTCCTTGCACCCAAACAAGGTATTGTTGTGTGTTTGGTGGGCAGCAACTGGAATTGTCCATTATGAATTTTTGAAAACGGGTCAAACCATCACTGCTAACTTGTATTGTGAGCAGCTTCAACGAGTACAAGCAGCACTCACCCAGAAACAGCCTTCTTTGATCAATGGGAAGAAAGTGATATTCTTGCAGGATAACGCCAAGCCTCATACCGCAAAAGTGACCCGAGAAATTTCTGAACTCGGCTGGGAAACGTTACCACATCCGCCATATTCTCCTGACATTTCGCCCAGTGATTATTACCTTTTTTTGTCTCTCGACAACTGTATAATGCACCGACAGTTTACAATTCGAGATGGTGTAATAAATGCATCCGCCAATTTTTTTACTCCAAATCCAGGGAGTTCTACAATACCGGCATACAAAAATTGGTGCCACGTTGGCAAAAGATCATTGCATGTGATAGTAATTACTTCGATGAATAAATAGTGTCTTTTTGTTTCTCAATAAAAATTTATATTTTTATACTAAAAACCGCACGGACTTATTTGGTTACCTGATATATCGGTTTCGATTTTTACAAGCGCAAGATGATCTAATCTAAATAACATATTTTTTATTTTTAATATGGTGAAAACACTATCGGCCATGATGTGACGTCATACAAATTGTAAACAGAGAAACGTCATCCGTATGTCACTTGCGGACTAAGTTTGCCTTTAAATATTTCTAAAAAACATCATCATAAAAAGTTATCGTTTTCTCCTTTTATTGAAAAAAATCATGGACGTTGGATTCGTAAAAGCAGAAAGCACAAATTTGTCGAAAACTGTCTCTCATTGATGATTGGTAATATTTTTGCTTTCAAGCGAGATATCTGCTCTACTGAACTGAGGAACATCAATACTTCTATGTGAGTACAATGAATACGATATAATGATGGACGTGATAAGAAAAAACTAAGCTCATGTGTCATAATCTTTGAATAATGTTATCTAAGATTGTATTTCTTACATGTTTGGGGATCATACAGTAGGTTACGTCTAACTTGAACGAGACGATAAAAACTGCACAGTAAATTGTAAAATATGTCCCGAACATAAGGTATAATCCAAGCAATACACAGTGTTGCGTATATTTATTTTCCTTCGCATTCTAATCCACTGCTTTCCTGTAGTCTTTATTGACGTGTTTTTACATTCTCTGTAAATACAATGACCATAATTACTATATTTTTTACGTAAACAAGTAGAAATCATGATTATGTATTTAAAAGTTTGAGAGGTTGTGCTGCTGTTTACAAACGCTATGACGTCAGAATACATTCATATGGGCCAAACATGGCGGACAGCCTTCTTGCTGTCCAATAGCTGCTTTATTCTATCCCTTAAATTGAACAATTTTTCAAGCATTTCAATCGTGTGAACTTTGTTGTTGTTATTGTTGTCAATCCCTTCACAACAATAAATTCACGGATAAATTGTCTGATTAAAGGTTTTTCTAATTTTACATCAATTTTTCGAGTAATTATATTTACTTAGGGTTGTTTTACGTAGATCAGCCTTCGTTATTCGACGCGTTCACGTTTGGTAATTTGAGATTAAAATTATAATCCTTACAGTTTGGCTTGGAGCTTTGATTTTAATTTAGGATTTCATATTTCAACAGAAATGGCCCTTAGGAGAAATATTTAAAGGGCCGTCCGTTGGTTTCTTTTTTAAATTGGTATTAAACCTACACTCTTCAATAGTATGTAACACTCGATACTTTATTCAAAAGAATACACCGTCCGATTATTTGTGGAAAACAATTTCAGTTAAATGGCTGCCCCGGCTGGCCTGGCAGTAATCCTTCCTCTTAACCCAATTTCGAAGCACATTTTTGATAGTTTGTGGATCTATTTCATCAATATCTCGACGGATATTTTTCTTAAGAACATCAATTATTTGAGGACCGTTAGAGTAACAGCGGTCCTTAACAGTACCGCATAGGCAGTAATCCATGGGCGTCAAATCACAGCTGCGGGCTAGCCAATGAACGTCTCCAAAACGGCTGATAACGCGATGGCCGAACTTGGTGTGTAAAAGATCGATTGTTTCACGGCTGGTGTGGCATGTTGCACCATCCTACTGGAACCAGACATAGTGCAAATGCATGTCGTCTAATAATGGCCACAAAAAAGTCAACATGTCTCTATAGCGTTTCCCGTTTACCTTCACGTTGTTACCATCTTCCTCTTAAAAAAAGTAGGGACCAATAACCCCACCACTGCAAAAGCCACACCAAACAGTTACTCTTTTTGGATGCATTGGTTTTTCTATGACGACTTGTGGCTTTTCAGAACCCCAAATCCTACAGTTCTGCTTGTTAACGTAACCTGCCAGACGGAAATGGGTTTTGTCCGAAATGATGATTTGACGACCAAAATTGACGCCCGTTTCCAATTAATTTAGAGCCCACACAGAGAAACGATATCGACGCGGCAGGTCATTTTGTTTCAACTCTTGCACAAGTTGCTTCTTATAAGGAAATAATGCAATATTCTCCGCACAGAAGTGCGACTGATGCCCACTTGTTGTGTTCTGTTGCGAGTTGACATTCTTGCGTTTTACGCACACTTTGGGCAACAGCAGCAATGTTTTCGGATGTACGTACGGGTCGAACACGCTCATACCTTCTGTGGTCCACAAGCAGGCCAGTTTCACGAACTGTCTTCACGAATTTTCGTATACCAGTAAAGTTTTTCAATATTTCCCACCTTCAAGATTAAAACGATCCATAGCACACAGCGGAAGTTTAACAGAATATATGTCAATATTTTGAGCATGGAAGTGTTACTAACTGTCAAAATTATACCAACTTGGAAAAAACCAACTGATGGCCCTTAATGTTTCACGGTCTTTTAGGTCTGAAAAAAATATAGTACATATTAATTGTTTTGGTCTAATAGAACAAATATTAACTATTAAAGAGCTGCTTAAAAAAATGTCAACTAGCCTATTGTGATTTGATTTTAGGGATGTTCAGTTGACCGAATGCCATGGTCACAGAAGAGAACAGTACTGGATACTGTATAGAAATGGAACAATCCACCATCCCAGTTCAGGCAAGTGCCTCAGCAACGAAAACGTCAGTATGAGTCATGGACTGAAAGTAGACACATGTCGAGAGACGGTCTATCAGCGATGGAAGTTTGATCACGTCAATATGACGGCCGTGTTAGTATGAGATGCTAAACTATGCTCACTGTATAACTTATTTCGGTTGACTCAAGCTAGAATCCAAGCCTGCATGAAAAACTATTAGTCTCATCATATTAGCAAATTTCCCCGAAATAATTGTAAAGTTGGTTTTATTGTAGCATTCATGATAAATAAATCTTCAACAAACAAACAAAAGTTGTTCAAGGGGGTATTTAAAACATGGACGCATAAAATTGGGGGAAAACTTTTTAATTGACAACAAAGAATGAGAAAACGCGTTTTCTGGGATTCAATCGAAAGTGTTGACAGGAACGAAAAAACTTTTCATGTAAGATTTTCTAGGTATTTATGAGACCTACGAAACGAGACCACACGTAAAAAGATCCGACTAATAGCAAAAATATTATGGCCGAAAAAAGAGGCAAAATGTAGGTTTTTGGCACTAATGCGACGATAATTTCACGCGACGACTTGAAATTCCTCAAATCCGTAGGATTCATACTTCTAAATAACAACAAAGTTGGATTATATTGATCCAGTAGTTTTATGACAATTTCTAATTGTTTATCCCAAAACACCTGTTTTCCGGCCATCACTACTAGTTTATTGAGCAATATACAAGGCTCGTTCAAAGAGCATTTAATAGTAAAATACACGTGTTTGTTTACCTTGCCGATATGAATCACCGGCCATAACTTGTTTGCAGTTAGTCGGATCTTTTTACGTCTCATAAATACCTAAATGAAATATGAAGTTTTTTCGTTCCTGCCAACACTTTCGATTGAATGCTAAAAAACACGTTGTCTCAATCTTTGTTGTCGAATAAAAAGTTTTCCCACAAAAATTGGTGTACCCATTTTATGCGTCCATGTTTTGAATACCCCTTGAAGAACTTGCAGCAATAAAACCAGACTTTACAGTTATTCCGCAAACCAGGGGCATTTTCGTCTACGATTAGACTATATATGATCAAAGTAATTTTATGTAGTCAAATTCGATTCTCTTTCTGTTTTCATTGATTGATACAATATATAATTTTAAAACAAAGTCGACTGAAATGAGCTTAAACATTATACTCAATTTGTAAAGTTTTACCTCATAGAGATAATACTCAATGGTTGTTTTTGTTTTAAAGGATCTAAATATTGACTTTTTGAGTCAATTTTACTGCACTGTTCTTCCTGTTATTATATATCAAGAGACTTACTTTGTGATCAAGATATATTTTCAAATGAATAAGCTATTTACTGAACTATACATCACCTGTTAATCATTTTTACTACAGTATCAAAATAAATATGTTGATTCAATGCTTGTTTTACTAATACAATCTCCCTCAGAAGCCCTCCATATACAGTGTGAGTCTTCATAAAAAGCACATATCAAAATCTGGGAAACTACACTCTATTTCATCGACGGATAAATCATCAAAAAAACATGAATTTGATTTTTTATGAATATATGAATATTTTAAAATTTTTAGTAGCAGCTTCTAACCATATTGAAATAACTCGTTACAACTTTTAAACTAAATGTCCTATCATATTAGAATACATTTTGTAGTGATTGCTGGTAAAAGGACCTGCCTGAAAAGTGAAGAATTCCAGGAAAAGTAATGAGAAGAGAGAATTTTGATGAAAATCTGTTTTTTTTTTTCATCATTTTTACAATAATTTCAAATTTTCTATAAATATCGTCCCTTGTACCCTACCTTTTTTATTTGTAAGTTATTCTACATGTTATCAGCTTTATAAAAGTAAAAATTGCACGTTTATTACTCAAATGTAACAGTTTCTATGAGTGTTTATAAAAAAGCCCATGCGCATCTTTTTGCTAGGCACCATTGTTTATCATGTAGATACCTTTTTTAGGTGATTCAATGTAGAGTCGCGCGGGCTGAAGTACGAGTGGGGAGGCGGGCGCAGTTGAAAAACAATTGAATGTTGGGCAGTTAGGCAGCTATTTGTGTTTCTCCTGCCAACTTTATCAGTTTCGTTTGCTACATATCACGCTTTCGCTTTTTGGTCGCGATGCCACGTATAAGTGATTTCCCTCCGGCACACATTGCCGATATCCATTATTATTATGAAATGTACCGAGGGAGTGCTAGAGCTGCTTGCGCAGCTTATCTAGCTGCATTTCCAAATCGACGCCCTGTTCCATCAGCCCGTAACTTCCAAGAAGTACATAGAAGACTGGCTAACACTGGACTTGGTTTGCCTCGAGATCGCCGCGAACCAGGTGTTATTATTCATGTTGCTATCGAAGAAGCCATTTTGGATGATTTGTTTGCTGACCCGACTACTAGTACGAGACGTTTGGCGTTACGTCATGGCGTATCCCTGAAATCGGTTTGGCGCATCTTAAGGAAAACAGGGTTGCATCCATACCATTATCAAAGGGTGCAGCACTTGCATGAAGATGTGGATTTTAATAAAAACAAGATACAATCCTGAATTCCCGAAAACAATTCTGTGGACAGATGAATCTCAATTCACGAGAGACGTCATCGTGAACTGTCGTAATTTACATAAGTGGTGCCCAAAGGATAAAAACCCTAGGATGAAAAGGGCTTCAACATTTCAAGTGAAATTTTCTGTAAATGTGTGGCAACTTTTTGATTGGTCCAATAATACTCCCGAGGACATTAAACGGAGAGAGATTTCTGGAGCTTTTGCGGACTGAACTGCCCTTGCTGTTGGAAGAAGTGCCGCAGCAAACCCGTCGAAGAACGATGCTTCAAATGGATGGATGTCCCATTACTCGCTGATTGTCAGGTCTTTTCTTAATGAAAATTATCCAGGCCGCTGGATCGGTTGACAAGGACCTGTTGGGTGGCCGGCGCGTTCCCCAGATCTCACACCTCTCGACTATTTTTTATGGGGGACAATGAAACAAAGGGTGTTCAGCAGTTCCATAAACAGCGATGCGGAACTTGAAGAAAGAGTTTTGCGTGTTGCAAACGAAATCGAAAATGATCCCGAGATGATTCGTAGGGCAACTCATCAAATTTCACTTCGCGCTACAATGTGTTTGCAGCAACGGGGTGGCCATTTTGAACATTTGATGCATTAAGCCAAAATGATTACCCTATAGACAAGACTATTTGATTTTATTTGTTAAAGATAATGAATGATTCATGTAGGTTAATACTGTTGTTTTATTCCTACTCTGGCGTTGAGCTGAGTTCACTGCTTTTTGAAACGCTGATTTAAAAACTTGTATCTAAGTAATAAACTTGCAATTTTTCACCATTAGGAAGCTAATAACATGTAGAATAACTTAACATTTAAAAAAGGTAGGGTAAATAGGACAATTTTTATTGAAATTTAGCAATTGTTTTAAGAATCATTGAAAAAATAGTGAGTTTCAGCATATTCCTCTTTATTTTAAATTTATAGCATTTAATTTCGTGGAAATTTTCACTTTACTGGTACAGCCTATTATTTGCAATCACTACAAAATTTATTCCAATATGATAGGACATTCAGTTTAAAAGTTGTAACGATTTATTTAAATAGGGTTAGCAGCTGACTAAAAATTTTAAAATATCCTTAAAAAATCAATTAATGTTTTTAATTTTTTTTGATGATTTATCCGTCGATGAAATAGAGTGTAGTTTCCTTGATTTGGTTATGTACACTTTATGAAGACTCACACTGTATACTAAATGCTCAATGGTTTCTTCTACGTTCCAGTTCCAGTATATAATAATAATAATAGCGTTTATTTGCAGAGCAAAAAAAATACAAAGAGAAAAAATTAAAAATGAAACAACATGAATTCCCTGCAAAAGGGACTAAACTCTGGGCGCTGAAGAAAGACATTAAACGTAAACAGTGATCAGCACGTGAACAGATCCCTCGAAAGCATCGACGGATATACTCCAGTCACTTTAGGTCTAAACATCCTCGGCAGTGTATTTCTAGTGAATCCACAGACCCTTTTTCGTGTCATCTTGAGATTAGAAAAAGGATGACTGTTAAAATAAGTTACCTTGATCTTTCATGAGCTCCCAGAACAAAACATCATCGATATATTTTTGATGTAGGAACAACAAATTGGTTTAGAAAACATCCACTTTGAACCTAAATTGACTGGAGTAACATCGATCTACAGACAAATTCAAGGTCACTAGCAGTCGTCGGCGCTCTACGAATCTGCACAGGTTTGGACTTGTAAACGTGATTCTATATGACACGACAGGCATCTAACAGTTAATTCACGCACAGGATTGCATTGCATACACATTACGCATTCAGTAGCGTATACTCGTTTTTCGCGAGTGGAACGTTTTGTTTATATATTGCCTAAGATACGATGTCTGACACAGATACAGCCGACGAAGTGGTTGACATCAGCGCAACCCCACCCAAAAAAGGGCTAAGAACAAAAACCAAATTCAAGAAAAACCCGATTTGGTCGTGGACGAAGTTATATGTAAGGTAGCACATATTTCTGGAGTATGTCGGTCCAGTGTTTATAGGATCATTAAGGAATACAGGAGCACTCACTCACTTTCTGAGCCAAAACCGTATCCTGCAAGAAAAAGGATAACGGACGGAGTAGATGACTTTGACAGAACTGCCATCAGGAGGAAAGTGCATAATTTTTTCTTCCGAAATGAGATACCTACAGTAGATAAGATATTAAGATTAGCTAATGCTGATGAGGATCTTCCATCATTTAAAAGAACCACATTCCGAAAACTTTTGAAGGAACTTAATTTTCGATTCTTGAAACGGGGAAGAAACAGTATGTTAATAGAGAAAGAAGAAATTGTTGTGTGGAGAAGGGAATACCTTAGGAAGATTCGGAAGTTTCGCGATGAAAAAAGAAAAATTTACTATTTGGACGAAACGTGGGTGAATGCTGGACATACTCAAGCGAAAGTTTGGGTCGACAAATCAGTAACATCATCAAGGCAGGCTTTTCTAGACGGTCTTTCGGCTGGATTGAAAAATCCTGCAGGTAAGCTCCTTCATCTATCCGGCAATTTAATTTTGATAAATTCGGGCAAATAATATGCTGTGATAGCAGATAATGTGTGATATTCTCCAAAAATGGTGCATTCGCAGTGTAGTCATTAGGAAAAAAACTTCGACCCTCTTTTAAGCGTTATTTTGAAATTTATTATCATTTTTGGGTGCAGTCAATTTGCTTTGAATGGGTTTTGAGAAGTTGCAAACTTCAATTTTCTACGTTTTTCAGTTTTTGATCAGCATTCCGTGACTCTTAAATTCAGCTAAATGAACTCAATTGCCTCATTCCTTCAAATTTAATCAATCCATAGTGTAAGGAATAATTTATTTCCAGGAAAAGGCAAACGGCTGATCATTTGTCACGTAGGTAGTGAAGACGGCTTTGTTCCCGAAGCACTGTGGGCCTTTGAATCAAAAAAGACAGGGGACTATCATGAGGAGATGGACGGCAATTCCTTTGAAAATTGGTTCTCCAAAATGTTACTAAAGCTGGAGAATAACGCTGTTATTGTACTGGATAATGCCCCGTACCATTCTAGAAAAATAGAAAAAATTCCCACAATGGCAACTAAAAAAGCAAACATACAACAATGGCTGGCCTCAAAACAGATCGATTTTGATGAAACAATGGTCAAGGGTGATCTGATAAGTATAGTCAATAGACATAAATACAAATACGATTTTAAACTGATCGACGAAATGGCCAAAAAACAAAGTAAAACTGTCTTGAGACTGCCACCCTACCATTGTGAGCTGAACCCTATTGAGCTGATTTGGGCCAACATAAAGCAATACGTGGCGTCGAATAATAATACTTATAAATTTTCTGATGTTAAAAATCTCTTTCACATCGCAGTCAATAGAGTTACGGCAGAGGAATGGAAAAACTGTATCCGCCACGTTCGGGAGAAGGTTGAGGTCAAAATGTGGGATTTGGACAATGTCATCGATACCCAAATTGAACCTCTAATAATTCATTTAAACCATTCAGAAGATTCAAGTTCATCTTCTGAATGAGTGCGCGCAGCTTGCTTAGTAATAACTAAAAAGTGTAGTTAACTCATTTGTGAATCTCTAACTGAAATTTACTGTAAAAGATAATAATTATCTTGTATGAAATTTTTGATGACTACCCATAATATCTTGATGCGGTCCTGTAATGTCTCCTGCGCCTAAACACTCACTCACGAGCAATATGCGTGTATTTGTTTGGGTTTAGTTTCTTTCTTCAGCGCCTAGAGTATAGTAAACAGACGAACTGATCAAAGTACTAGCCCAACAAACAAAATTACAACAGAGGAGTTCTTTACGAAATTAATATTAATAAT